AAGATTAGAGATGGGGACGAATATAAAAATGGATTGCTTTTTCCAACGAATATAGCCGATTCATTAAATATTCATCGATCCATATTTGTGGGTTTCAGAGACCTCCACGAATATGAAGAGACAAATATTTACCTGTTTTTATTCATCCTTCATATTAAAAAAACAAAAAAAAAACCATTCTGACTACAGCCACCCAATACTACAGCCTATTCCCACCCCCTTCCTTTCCCTAACCTAGGCCCCCCACCCCACCACCCCACCCACACCAACACCTTCTTACCTTAATAGCTGCTACCAAGGTCTTCTGGTCTCAGAGTCACACATGTAAAAATGGAGACTGGTTGCCCTTTGCAAAGATGGCGGCTGCGGCTTCCCTACCCTAAATGAAGCCACATCTGCCATCGTTGCAAAGGGCAGCCAGTCTCCCTTTTCACACGTCATGGCTGCGAAGGCCTGATGGAGACCTCGGCAGCAGCTATAAAGGAAAGAGGGTGTCGGTGGGAGTGGGATGGGGGCTAGGTAAGGAAAGGAAGGGGGTGTGGGGGTAGGCTGTTGGGGTGGCTGGCGGTGTGGGGGGTGGCTGCCTATTGGCTTCTGATTAGCTGATCGGCGGCCAGTGGGCAGAATGGGCTTCTGTGCCATGTGGTAAACTCTCCTGGGGTGGACCCAATCTGTGGGCGAATAACTTGGATGTCCGATATCCAATCTTCACCAAAGTTGGCAGGTGCATTGGGGAAGACATAGGAAGTTCTGTTGTGATTCTAGAGTCTCTATGTACCTGGGGGAAGCTTTCCTGGGGGGTTGTCTTTGTGACTACAGTATATAACTCGGGGGTCCATGATCCAATGTTCACCAATCTTTCAGGAGTTGTAGAAAAGCGTCTGAGGAAGCTTCCCTGTAACTTTGGTGTTTCTAAGTCATTGGGGGACAGTGTTATAGCCATTTAAAGTGCAGATGAATCAACAGATTGATCCCTCAAAGAATATTCATATTCATGATCCGTTAACCTTGACAAGTAACGGATCAAAATGAATCTCCCTTTTTAAAATTTGTCCCCATCTCTAATTACCACTGTACCACTTATTTTGAAGCCATTCCTACACCAGGAAAGTATGAAGAGGGTACAATTAAGCCCTATTACTGTGCAAATGTAGCAATACACAAACCAGTCAAGACAACTCAAGAAATGAATGCACAAGCCACTTCAAAGGGAGGGGGAATCCACTCTGGTTCAGTCATGCTAGGAGCTGTGGAGTCATCTATACTTTTCAAGGGGCCCACTGAACACTACAAAGTGTTCACACATTTTTACATATCATTTTAAAGAGTTAGTGAAGAACATGTATAAATATCAAAATCCATCTAATGGAACAGAAACTCAAAATTGTATGTTCTTCAGCAACAACTAGAGCTTATACACACATTGAATCTCCAGGATACCTGTGGTGCCAATATTCATATTTGTATCCTCAAGGATATGAATATGAATAGCCCAATACTAGCGGAGATCTCAACTGCTAGAGACAGGATGGGCTTAAAGGGAAACAAACTAAAATAAAGCCTAGTTTATTCCAGCATACGCACTCATGATAAAACTGGGAGAAATGCTTCATATATAAAATCTTTTTTTTAAAAAAATGGAACTGTCCATAAAAAATAATCCATAAACCATCACTTTATTCCTACTGATGACCTAGTCTTAGGCTGGAGAGAGAGAGGACAATATTTGTAGTGTATATATATTTAATCAAAAGTGCCTTTGAGGAAAGTTTCTGTTTACTTCCCTTCAGGTAAGTCACCCATTCGTACTGGTTTGAC